CCACCCACACAACCCTTCCTTCCCACCCAAACCACTTCCACCCCTGTGCCCGTGACTCCGCTTCCTGGTCAGGCATTATCTCTGGCACTGTCTCCTTCAGCCTAGTCTGGTGTTCCTTTAGATGCTCCCATCTACACGCTGTGCCACTCTGTCCATTGCACTGCATTGTAATTGCTTCTTTGATTGTGTGATTTGCTCATGGATTCGGTTTCTTGGGGGCAGGGGCAGAATCTTGATTATTCCTATATCTCCAGTCCCCAGCACAGTGCCTGATAAAGAACAGTTATTAAAGCAGCAACAAGTGAAATGACTACCATTTATTAAACAATTACTATGTTCCAGGTACTGTGTTGAGGGCCTATGTAGATTGTCACATATACTCTGGTGGGAGCTGTCCAGATCTCCTTCCAGGAGTGAGGGCCTTATTCTGTCCTTGGTTGGGAATGCTGCAGGAAGAGATCAAGACCCCATCTCATTTATCTGCCCAGCAACTCTAGGAGTCATGGGCTTTTATTCCATTGTGTGTGGTGAGGAAGGTTTAGAGATGTTTAGTAACTTGTCAGAGTTCATAGAGACCAATCTCAGCTGTGCTTTGTGGACTGGCTTGGCTGAGAAAAACTGCCTTGACTAAGTCATGCTTCCTTCCTGGGGTTCCCTGCACTCAGTGCACCGAACCACTGAGGGGCACACAGGGCCAACCCTTTTGGTCCAACTCGGGCAAGACCAGTGGGCCATACCAGCTCCAGAGCGCCCCCTTGGGGTGGCTACTGTTTTCTTTGAGTGCATCAAAGCACAACTCCTTTTACAGATGAAACAACCTGGAGGTTTACAGATGCTGATGACTTAAATCTTTAATTAGGGGAGATATGACTTGAATTTGAGCAGTTAACTCTAGTGTTCACACTATTAACTGCACACTCAATACATATGATAAGTGAATTAATGGCTTAGTCCTGCTGGTTGTCAAGGAAAAATATAAAAAAATCTACAACTGAGGGGCTGGGGATATAGCTCAGTGGTTCTGCCACCTGCCTCACAAGCTCAAGGACCCAAGTTCAACCTCCGGTACTAAAAAAAAAAAAAAAAAAAGCTACAATTGAGAAACAACTTTGAACACATGATTTTTCTCAGTGCTGAGAAATGAGCAGATGTGGAACCTTCCAGCTGCTGTGGAAGATTACAAATCAGCCCTATCAATGGTGGGTCTGAGCGAGGCTGACTTATAACACAGGTCACAGATAGGAAACTCAAGCTGAGCTATGATGGTGAGTTTTAGGTGAAAATGTCACCCCAAAGATTTGGGTGTCTGGATGATTTAATCCTTTTTTTTTTTTTTTTTTTTTTTGAGACAGGGTCTCACTATGTAGTTGAGACTGACCTGGAACTCACTATGTAGCCCAGGCTAGTCTTGAACTCACAGCGATCCTCCTGCCTCCGCCTCCCGAGTGCTGGGATGACAGGCGTGCGCCACCATGCCTGGCTGATTTAATCCATTTCTAATGGAACATGAGCTGGCATAGGAGAACAGCCATTTCTCCCCAATCTATGCAAAACACTGATGTATGCAAAATCCAAGTCGGTTTTGTTTGTATTTGGGACATTATCAGAGATTAGCTCATGCAACCATGTACACCTTCCCAGCCATCCTCTCCCAGGGGGACTCCAGAAGGGACAGCCTCGATGAGAGGAGGTGGGGGCGCCAGCAGGGAATGTCTGGATGGCTGGGCAGAGGGACCGCAGGCAGTAGGTGTTAGCACAGAGGGGGAGAGGAGATGTCTGTGCTGGCTATGCAGTGATAAGTTCTATAAATACACCCTGGTGGAGGTGGAGGGGGCAAATCAGTATGGCTTAGCTGCAGTGTTTCAGATTGCAGGGATAACTTCGCGTCTGTTTGTCATTAAAAGTTAAAGTCTATGTGTGCTTGAGCCCAGCTGGCCTGTGCTCTCTGACCCCGTGTGACAGGTACATCCTGTAACAAGCACCTGGACCTTGAATCATAAACTATGCTGTTTTTCTCTTTAACAGCCTGTGTTCTTTTCCAAAAGGAAGGTAGGAGCTGTGGAACTGGACGCTCTAATGTTAAAAACTTTTTTTTTTGTTGTTGTGGAGATAGGAAAGGAGAAGGGATGGGAGTTAGGAGTTATGGGAGCCTTAAGGTGTCAGCAGGGAGAGGGCTGAGCAAGCTGGGGCAGGGCCAGGGGGCTGTATGGGTAGATGTCACACCTGGCGTAGGGCTGTTCTCCAGGGCATGATGGGGTGAGCTAATGGGGGGCAGCTCTGCTGTTTGGCTGGGTGCAGGCCTGCCCACTTGCGGTCCACAGCCCTTGGACATGGAGCCACTGTCCTTGCTCCCCAACCCCCATCCAGACATTCTCAGGACCTCTAGACAGGAGCCGGCTGGGATCTCACAGACATGTCATGGGAGAATAACTGCATCCCCAACTCCCAGGCTTCAGACCCAACACACATCAATCTGTTCCTCTCACTTCCAACGTCCAAAGAGAAGAAAAGAGGATTCAGGCACCATGCTGATTGTCAGGACCCATCTCATTTATCTGCCTGGAAGCCCTAGATGACACAGCTGTTAGCAAGCTCACTGCACAGATGAGAATCAGGCTTAGAGATGCTGAGTAATTTGACCAACTTCACCTAGCTGATCTGCAGGTAGAGCCAGGATTTGAAAGCAAATCCATCTGACTCCAAGGCCTGTATTTAAGACTAAGCAGCCCTCTGCCTTTTACTGCTTTTCTTTCCTGTGTAGAGTCCAAGCTGAACAGCTGCCCTGGGTTAAATAGTATACCCCCAAAGGTATGGCCATCTGGAATCTCAGAGCATCACTCTAGCTGTAACCAAATCAAGATGATGTCATACTAAGCCAGTGGACTGGCACGTGACTATAATCCCAGCACTCTGGGAGCCTGAGGCAGGAGGACTGCAAGTTCAAGCCCAGGCTGAGCAACTTAGCAAGACCTGGTGAAAAAACAAAACAAAACAGAAAGAACAGCTGAGCAGCAGACACAGAGGTGCAGATCTTCATGAAGACCCTGACGGGCAGACCATCACCTTCAAGGTGGAGCCCAGTGACACCATCGAGAACGTCAAAGCCAAAATCCAACACAAGGAGGGCATCCCCCTGACCAGCAGCATTTGATATTTGTCAGCAAACAATTGGAGGATGGCTGGACTCTCTGACTACAACCTCCAAAAAGAGTCCCCCTGCACCTGGTGCTGCGACTTCAAGGTGGGATCACCAAGCCGTCCCTGCGCCAGCTTGCCCAGAAGTGCAACCACGACAAGATGATCTGCCACAAGTGCTATGCCCGTCTGCACCCCCGCACCGTTTACTGCCTCAAGAAGCAGTGTGACCACACCAACAACCTGTGCCCCAAAAGAAGGCCAAGTAAAGCTCTCTGCCAGCCCCTTCCTCCAGAAGGGCACCAACTGCTCAAACACAACGGCCTTGGTCTGAGTAAAGTTTTCCCTCCACACTTGACTGGAAAAGAAGAAAAAAAAAAAGAAAGAGGTCATGCTAGATTAGAGTAGGCCGTAGTCCAACGACTGATGTGCTTTGTTTTTGGTATAGAACTCGGGCTTGCAAGGCAGGCGGCAGAACCACTGAGCTACATCTCCAGCCCCAGTGACTGATGCTCTTATGAGACGAGGGTAATGCAGACACGGAGACATGATGACACAGGGAGAAGGACACGATGCACATAAAGGCCAAAGAACATCAAGGATTATCTTTAAAGAATCACCCACACATTGTCTCATTTGTCCCTCATCCGGCATGGCAACCCAGCAGGAAAGATTTTCTTGATTCCTCATCTCTCTTCCAGGCAAAAACTAACTTTTCCTGTTTAGGGAATATCTTCCTGAATTGTGCTACACTTTTGGCTCACTTAAGAGTGCTATTCTTAAATGTTTTGTAAGTAATTTCTTTCCTTCTACCTAGCAGGACCCTCCACATGTTAGGATCAGGTTTCACTTGTCACTCTGACTAATAAATGAATTAACAGCTTATGAAGCTCACACCAATAAATAGAGGCAGAAATGTAGGAAGGAAGTAGAAACTGTTAATATTGATTATGCCCAAAGCAGACTGTGAAGAGTTAACCCCACAACTGGCTCTTTTATAGAAGTGAGTCTGGCCGAAGCCTATGTGCTGAGGACAGAGTAACTCGCACCCAAATTCCATTCCCACGATTAAATAATTATCTTCTTACTATAAGGACAATGTTCTAATTACAACCATATATTTTGTCTATTCCTAATTTGAGAATGCTTTGTCTTCTCCCTTACGAGGCTTGCTTACATTAATTTCCATAGGAACAGCATGACTGCACCTCTTTGCACACAGTTCTGCCCTTGTAGGTAGCTCACCTTCACCCTAATGGATCACCAATAAAAATCAGAGGCTTGGACTGGTCAGAGCCTTTGTTGGTTGCACCGGCATTGGTTGTCCTGGAACCCCGCTTTCTGTCTCTCTTATTCCTGACCTTTAGTGTATTTTTTCCTCAGGCCTTCGTTGTACACTGGGCAGGAGACTGGAACCTAACCTCAGGGGTCTTCAGTAATGTCTAGTTACTTATTTATTCTTCCATTCCAGCAAACGTTGGACACCTGGCTCTTGGGACTACAATAATGAAATGTGAGCTCAGCCGCTACCTTGTAGGAGTTAAGGATTTTGTGGAGAGGAGAACCCTGTGAGCAGTTAAGTGTTACAACTGGGTCCATCATGTTGCAGAAACAACTAAAGTGCTCTGGGAGCCCCAAGAACAGAACGGCCCAGTGAGTCTGGGAAAGCTTCACCAACAAATCAGTGCATTTTAAAACCTGAGAAGGACAAGAAAATGTATAGATTATAAAAATGTGCAGCTTTTGTCCCATTTTATTTCTCTCTATACTGGATGCTTTCGGTTTTTTGAGACAGGGTCTCACTGTATAGTTGAGACTAACCTGGAACTCACTATGTAGCCCAGGCTGGTCTCAAACTCACAGCGATCCTCCTGCCTCAGCCTCCCAAGTGCTGGGATTACAGGCGTGCACCACCACACCCAGCTCTATACTGGATGCTTTCATGGGAGACATATAACAGGTCCTTGTGGGAAGAGACAGAAAGAAATTTCAAAAGCAATTAAGAGAGCTCAAATAATGGGGTTAATGCCAGTCACATATAAGTATCCTGCATATCTCAAAGACCCTAAAGTTTGTAACCTCAAATATTTTGGAATAAATTTCATAAGGCTATTACCAATAAACCCACTTTATAGCAAAAAGATAAAATAACGTAAAAGTTTGCTAAATTCCTCTCCAAGTTGATTAGGGAAGGCCATCCCTCCACCAACAGTGCTCAGAGTGCATGTGCCCCATGATTTTACTGGGCCACACTAGCTGACAGCCTGATCTTTGCCAATCTGATATCTTCCTTTTGTGCTGTTAATTTGCATTTCCATTATCATGAGTATAAATGGACATCTTTTCATGTGCTTAAAAGACATTTGGAACTTCCTGTGAACAGTCTGTACCTATCCTTTGCCCATTTTTTCTGAGACTGAAGAGGAATAAAAAGGATTTTTATAGATGGGGAAGAGGGAATAAAACAAAGCCACCAGGTAATTGTGGGGTACACAAAGACAGGGATAGGGGCATTGAAAAATAGCCTGAGGTGTTTAGCCTCTGTTCCAGTTGCCTGGGATTTTTCATCCAAGCCTCTCCTCCTCTTCCTGCCTAAGCAGCAGTCAGCTCTGAAACTAAGAGAAAAGCCTGGAGATTAAATTCTAGGTTTAGCATTGCAAATTTGAGCTTGGAATATGAAATGTCTGCGAAACCATTAGGCCCCTCTTTTGAGTCTGGTTTACCTCTAGGGGGTTGTTTTAAACATGACTGTAGATAGGAATAAGATTAGCAGTTTGTTGAATGCATTAAGAATAGGCTTGGGAGAAAATTGCCATAGAGTGATGGTCAGTGATATGAGTTAGGGATTTCTCTCTAGGACATGACATTCTTTTGTGTCATTTTTTTTGTCGTTTCTTCACTGGCTAGGGTTAAGTTCAAAGTCAAATGGACATGCATTTCAGTCTGAATCTGTTATCTTAGGAGGTCAAATATGGCCAAAGATTTGTTTTCAGGGTGGAGACAGAATCAGGGTTGTGGTTTTTTTGTTGAGGGGGGGTGTCTCTGTTGTCAGGTGGTTTTTATGATGGGATTTAAGTAGGTATTGGTGTTGCATCCTCTATGGTTTATAAAGTACTCAAAATATAGAAACTATGCAAAGTTGCTTTCAGAGGGTCTTGCAAACCTCACTGTCTGTTCTTTTACTCTCAAGGAGTTTATTGAACACCCCCTTCCAATAATCCTTGAATTAGGAAGGTTTCAGGTCATATCAGAGCTGATCCACACATTCCAAGATGGTAGACTCGAGCTAGTGAGTTAAAACTGAAGTGAGGATTAATTTTATGTGTCAGTTTGGCTGTGCCAAATATTCAAATATTATTTTGGATATTTCTTTTATGGCTATTTGGGGAGGGGGATGAGATTAACATATAAGTTTGTGGATGTTGAGTAAAGTAAAATGCCTTCTGTAATAGGGTTAGGCCTCATGCAATCAGCTGAAGGCCTTTAATAGCACAAAGACTGACCTCTGTGCAACAAGGAATCTGCCGGAATACTGCCTTTGGGCTCTTCCTTGGGTCTCCAGCCCTATCCTGAAGATTTTTGGACTAGCACTTTTGTGAGTCAATTCCTCAAAATCTCTCCCACCCAACTATGTATAAAATTGGTCTATTTCTCTGAAGAAGCAAGGCTAATACAATGACCAGTGAGCCCCTGATCTTTAAGGTGAGATCAGGATGACAGAGATACGGTGGGGGAGGTGGCTCCAATCAGGGAGACTTTCAGTGGGAAGTGGACAGAGTAGGATTCTGAATCCAAGTCAAGTTAAGGAGGAAGGGCCTTCTGGGAAGGGAAACACTTTTACAAGACCAGATGTACAAAGCTCCAACCCAGTAGGAGAGCAGTTTAGGGGTCATAGTTGCTCCAGGCACTAGCACCTCCCTGTGGTCACTGTCTCAGCTGCAATTGGACCCTTGTCAGTGGGAGTGTGTTTAATGCAGCTCCCTCCTTAGGACATAAGTGTGTGTCCATTACATATGCATTCCCTGTGCCTACTTAGTTCCATTCTTAGCATAAGCTTATGTTGAATAAATACTGTGGAATTAATTCACTTTGCTCTCTTAGTGAATTCTGATCTATAGCAGACTTAGTTCACCATCTTGTTTCAAAGAGTGTCAAGAACTTGGCAGTGATGATGATCATGAGAACTGCTTCTTCCTAAAGGAAAGACAATTTTATTACTTTCTGTTTCAAAATACATACTTGTAAATAATTCAGACAGTGCACAAAACTATAAAATAGAACATCTGCAGTTGCACTGCCCACAAATGAGATGAGAACAAAAATAATATTAAATCACCATTGGCTGTAAAAGGTGACACATTATTATTGCTCTGTTACTGGATCTTTCCTTATTCTTTTTTTTTTTTTTTTTTTTTTTTTTTTTTTAATTTTTTTTTTTTTTGGTACCGGTCCTTGTGCTTGCAAGGCAGGCCACCGAACTGCTGAGCTAAATCCCCAGCACTTCTTTCCTTATTCTTCCACCAAGACCCTGGAATGTATGGAGCACCTACTGTGTGTTAGTCAGTGTATATGACCTGAAACTCAAAGGGCAAGAAGACAAACACAGGGCATCCCCAGCTTTCCGGCACTGTTGCACTGACTGAGTTTTCTAGAATCAAAGCTTTCATGGGCTCTGGTGTTTCTGTGCCACATCTTCTTGGCTGCTGGAAGTGAACTCTTGTTTTTGTGCCTGAAAACACTTGTGCCAAAACTCTTTTTCCCTCAAATTGCAACGAAGAAACTTTTCAGAACATTTCTCCAAAGACATTTTCATGCATAAGTTTTTGAAAGACTGTTTTTATGACTTCCCTTAGGGCCCTCTGAAAACTCAGCCTCCTCAGTTTGCTGATGCTTTGGGTTATTGTGTCTGAAGATCACATTCTTCTACTAGGGAGTCGCTATTTAGTGAAAAACCTAACTGGTTCTATCTGATTGCTTTTCATTAAAAAAGAAAAAGGGACTTTTTTCTTAGTATGTAGAAAGGAATGTTTAGCACCGTATTTATGTTTGGACTGGGGAGGGGTGGTACTGAGGATCTAACCCCTGGCCTCGCACATGCTAGCTCCAGCTCCAGCCTCTTTTAAATTTTATTTTTTAATTTTTTATTTTTTGGTACCAGAGATCGAACTCGGGTCCTTGTGCTTGTAAGGCAGGCAGCAGAACCACTGAGCTAAACCCCCAGTCCTAAATTTTATTTTTTGATAAGCGGTCTCATTAAGTTTTGTAGGCTGGCCTCAGAGTTGGTAATCCTCCTGCCTCAGCCTCCCAGCTAGCTGAGAACACAGGCATGTGCCACTATTCTCAGCATGGGTTTTTATTTGTATTTGTTTATGGTCTATCTAAATTTTTTGGGGGGGACAAGTTCCATGAACACAAGATTGTATTTATTTAGGTGGTTTTGAAGATTGAAGTCAGGGTCTTTGCTATATCCCCAGCCCTTTAAAAGAAAAAATTGTGGGTTTTTTGTTTTGTTTTGTTGAGACAGGGTCTCTCTAAGTCACCCAGGCTGGGATCAAACTTGTGATCTTCCTATCTCAGCCTCCCAGAATGTTGAGATTATAGATACCACCACACCTGGCTTTAGGGTCCTTTTAGAGGGTCCCAACATGGAGCTTAACCCTCTTACACCAAGGAAAAACCTATTAGGATTTTCTGAAGTCTATCTTTTTCCCAGATTCATTTTATTCAAAACCTATGGATTGAATGGCGTGTGGTGGTGCATGCCTATAACCTCGGCAATCTGGGGGGGGCGGGGGTGCTGAGGCAGGAGGATCCATGTTTGGGCCCAGCCTGGACAATTTAGCAACCTAGCAAGACCCTATCTCAAAATAAAAACCTTTTAAGAGAAGGGTTGGGGATGTAGCTCAAGGCAAAGGTCCTGGATTCAATTCCCAGCGCGCACGTGCACACACACACTGTTAACCTGGTGAAGCAGACTGTTCCTCCTAGGACTGAACCGGTGGCTGCCTGGGGCTCCGTACTCTAATCCAGGTGCAGGCGTTCTAGGATGGTAAAGAAGAGAAATGCATTTGCCAGTGGCAACTCACTGTTCATGCAAATAGCAGACAAGTCCCACCAGCAAGGCCATGCTGGTGCCTGTGCTGAGCTCATTTGCCAACCTAACATGGGAGAGGAGGTCAATAATTTGGTTCTTTCCCTTTTCCTTTCCTTTCCTTTCTTTTTCACACAGAGATCAGAACTAGATTTTGTGGTTAATTTTTTTTTTAAAGTGTATTGTTTTCTTTCTGATACTCTCTAAAAGGTGGAAAATATAGAACTCACATGAGAAGATAGAAATCCCACAAACAGGGAGAGCTTGTAAGGAGACAGGGCTTGGGTCAGTATGGGGAAGAACTTATAACCGTTAAGAGTGAGCTCCTGGTCAGAGGGAGCATTTGACTTGCGTGGTCTCACCCAATTCTCAACAAATCTCCACGAAACTGTACCATTATTATTGTTAACTAATGCAGCACACTGCGGCTCAGAGATGCTAAGAAGCTTCTGATGAGTATAGAGCCAGGATTCAAGCTCAGGGGCTTAATGCCCACCTATTTTGGAGAGAACTAGGTAGAACGGAGTCAAAGCACACTTCAGAGTAACAAGCAGCAGAGCTTGGTGATGGATGGGTTTCTCCCATGAGCCCAACTAGGTAATTAATTCCATTTATTATCACTGGGACAACTAATTCAAAGGGAAAATTTGTTGTGAGTATAACTCAATGAGGGAAAAGCTGCAGATCAATTAATTGACACTAAAGTACTACTAATAATAGCAAACACTTATATGGCACTATCTATGTGCCATTACTCCTTATGGGACTCACTGAATCCTCACCAGAAACCTAAGAGGGAGAAACTATGCTGGATATGGCAGGGCACACTTGTAATTTTGGCACTTTGGGAGGCGGAGGCAAGAGGGTTGCAAGTTCAGTTCCTGCCTGGGCAATTTAGCAAGACCCTGTCTCAAAAAAGAAAATAAAAAAGACTAGGTGCCTTCCCACACTGGTGCCTGTAATCCCAGCACTTGGGAGGCTGGGGTGGGAGGATGGCTGGGAGTTTGGGGCCAGCCTGGGATACATAGTAAGTTCAAGGCCAGCCTGAACTACATAGAGAGACCTTATCTCAAAAAAAAACCCTAAAAAATAAAAGGGAGTGGGAATGTAGATCCCTTCAAAGTTCTGCATCCAAGCCCCCAGTCTCCTCTCTCCCTCCGTCCCTCCCTCTCTCTCTCTCTCTCTCTCTCTCTCTCTCTCTCACACACACACACACACACACACACACACACACACACACACACACACAGCATAGGGGAGGAGCTATTGTTATCATCTCTCTTTCCAAGATAAGGAAACTGAGGGCTGGGGACTTAGCTCAGTGGTTCCGCCACCTGACTTGCAAGTGCAAGGACTTCAGTTCGATCCCCGGTACCAAAAAACAAAACAAAACAAAAAAAAACAACAAGATAAGAAAACTGAGGTACAAAGAGCTCAAGGAATTCGCACATAGCCACACAGTAGAAAGTGTCAAAGGGAGGCTTCTAAATCTGGGCAGGCTAACAGCAGAAGGTGGGCTGTGAGCCGCAGGCCATGCAGCTTTGAGGGGCTTCTGCAATGTAAAAGCTCCCTACGGTATCTGAGGCCAGGCCTCAGCAAAACAGCCCAATTTCCTGAAAGCGCCAGAATTTATTTTTGCCTCTTAGGTCACTCTGTAAACCTGGGCAGTGAGACATAACATTGGCCCAAAGACACTGAAATAATAAAGCCTACAGGCCAACGTACTCAAGAGTTCAAGCCCAGCGTGGGAATCCCATGTCTGCAGTAAGTGGCTTAGTGGTTGGGCCTGGACTGCAAAAGGGAGTTCTTTGTCCAGACATTGTTTTCTGAACGGGTTGGGAGGTTGTTTGTAGGAATTTGAGGAATTATTTGAGAAGGAGCCCATAGGGAAACCTTTTTTAGGCTCCTGGTTAAATCTTTTCATTATGTAGATATAGCTTTCTAGGTGTTTAATAAAGCTCTACTTAATTAGGATGCCTGTGGAATTCTATTTGGAGGGATTCCTATTAACAGAAACCAGTGGCAGAGCAGTCACTGATGTCTTTTGTGTAATGGAGAATAGCTTTCCAAACACTCCTGCTCAGCCCCCTGTGACTGTGTTTTCTAAGATGGCTTTGAGCCCTTTCTCTTCCCACAGTGTAGATGGGGAAGAACCTGAAGCTGCCCACATTCCTTCTTCCTGTTTCACATCTTTCAAGGGCTGCTCTCTGCTCTGGTCCCCTTCCTAGGCCTACCTACAGCCTCTCACCTCCCTCCCCCCAAATTACAGCCTACAGGTTCTTTCCTGCCAGAAATACCTTTTATTTTTTTTTTTTTTAAGCATTAGGGAGGATTGAAAGTTTAAGCCTAGTCTGGGCAACTTAAAAATTTAATAAGACCCTGTCTCAGAATTAAAAAAAAATATTAAAGGGCATGGGATGTAGTTCAGTACCAAAAAACAAACAAACAAGCCTGGTGTGGCGGCGTACCCCTGTAATCCCAGCACTGGGGAGGCTGAGGCAGGAGTATCGCTGTGAGTTCGAGACCAGCCTGGGCTGCAAAATGAGTTCCAGGTCAGTCACGACTACATAGTGAGACCCTGTCTCAAAAAAACCAAAAAAAAAAAAAAAAACCAAAACAAGGACTGCAGACCCAGCTGACTTCTTGAGTATATTATGTACTGAGCCAAAATACTCAGCTAAGTTGCTTCCAAAGTCTTGATCCACAGAAACTATATGTTATGGTTTGGGTCTAAAATGTACCCCCAGCCGACAGAGTGAAGAGACAACCCACAAAGTGGGAAAACAAATTTTACCAGCTATTCAGATAAAGGACTATTATCTACAATATATGAAGAGCTAAAAAAAAAAAAAAGACCCCCCCAAATTAAAAAACCCAATGCAAAAAAGGGCATCTGAAATAAAAAGACACTTCTCAGATGAATAATTAGAAACAGCACATAAATATATGAAAAAATGTTCCACATCACTGGTCATTTGAGAGGTGCAAATTAAAACAACTCTGAGATTCCATCTCACTCCAGAAAGAATGGCTGCTATCAAGAAATCAACCAATAACAAATGTTGGTGGGGCTGTGGGGAGAAAGGAACCCTTCTCCAGTGTTGGTGGGAGTGCAGACTGGTGCAACCACTGTGGAAATCAGTGTGAAGGTTGCTCGCATTTCTAAAACCAGGGAGCTGGGGATTTAGCTCAGTGGCTCTGTGCCTGCCTGGCAAACACAAGGTCCTAAATTAAATCCCTGGTACCAGGGGGAAGAAAAACAAAAACAAAACAAAAAAAAGAAACTAAAACTAGAGGTCCCCCCCACAAAAAAAGAAAACAACAAAAACTAGAGGTTCCATTTGACCCAGCTATACTTCTTGGTATCTTCCCAAAAGAATTAAAAGCATCACACCACAGTGATACATGCACGCCCATGTTTATAGCAACACAGTTTGTAATAGCTACATCTTGGAAACAGCCCAAATGCCTATCAACTGGACAAACTGATAGGGAAGATGTTTTTATACAACGGAGTACTACTCTGCCATAAAGAAGAGTGACCTTCAGACACTTATAGCTAAATAGATGGACCTTGAGACCATACTCTTAAGTGAAACAAATCAGACATACGTATTTAAATACATTGTTTATCTGGTGTGAGAAACTGAAAGTGGAAATGAGGACTGAAATGTATAATGGATGTTGAGAAATGGAAAGAAAGTGTTCAGATGGGAAGGGGAATAAGGGAGGAGGGAGGGAGAAAGGAAGGAAGGGACAAGAAAAAAATGAAAATAGGCTGGGAGTGGTGGCGCACGCCTGTAATCCCAGCGCTTGGGAGGCTGAGGCAGGAGGATCGCTGTGAGTTCAAGACCAGCCTGGGCTACATAGTGAGTTTCAGGTCAGTCTCAAATACATAGTGAGACCCTGTCTCAAAAAAACAACAAAAAAAAAAAGTGGGGAGGACACAAAGAGGCGCTACATTGAGTTTCAGGTCAGTCTCAAATACATAGTGAGACCCTGTCTCAAAAAAACAACAAAAAAAAAAAGTGGGGAGGACACAAAGCTTTAAAGCTTTTGTACATAGAGAAGGGAGGGCACTTGAGGAGGGATGGGATAAAATTTATTCAAATAAAATAAATATACCCCCAAAACGCTCAGGTGTTGAAGTCTTGGCCCCCTGTATAGCAATGTTCAGGGGTCTGGATTTGGGTATTGATTGTATCATGAGGTCTCTGGTCTTATCAATGCATTCATTGATAGGTTCATAATTGAATGGACTGTTGGGAGTTGGTGGAAACTATAGGAGGTTGGAGGGAATAGGTCACTGGGAGCGTGTCTTAGAAGGGTACATCTTGTCCCCTTCCCCACCAGCTTTAGGCTGCCGTGAGGCAAGCTTGCTTTGCTCTGCCACGCCTTCTGCCTTGATGTCCTGCCTCACCACAGGCCCAGAAACTATGAAGCCAGCTGGCCACGGACTGAAACTTCCGAAACCATTAGCTAAAATAAATCTTTCCTCTTTTAAACTGTCCTCAGGTATTTTGTCACAACAATGAAAAGCTGACTAACAGACTGTGTGCAATGATAAGTGTTTGCTGTTGTTTTATGCTCCTAAGTGTTGGGGGGAAATTAATGTTATGTTGTTTCTTCCCAGCAACAATTCTCTGTGTCAACTTGTGCGTAATTATACTCATCCATTGCATAATGGCATGTGGGAATGTGTATGCAATGGTGCCAAGTGACATCAAAGCTGTCTTTGTTTGAGTAGGTGCACAACTATGATGTTTGCACAGGTAGACACTGTGATGTTCGCACAATACAGCATCTTACAGAACGTTGTCTTGCCAGTAAGTGGCACTAGACTATACTTACTATTTACTCATGGCTACCTCATGTGGTTGGTGGGTTCCTGTCTACATACTAGGGTCAGTTTATGCCCTGGGTTTAGCACTTGCTCCACTGAAAGCAAGA